GACAGGGGGCTGGGTGAAACAGAGGTACCGCCACCCTTGTTCTTTTTGGGGAGGAAATCATCGTCGGAGAGACCCTCCCGTGGCCGTTTCTGGGACAGAGTGGGCCTCCTAAGCCCAGGAATGGCAGAGATAGGAACAGCATTCAGAGCAGCATCCGGATTGCGCACCACTAAGGTATTGGAACCACCTTGGGGCTGATCTCCAGAAGAACTTGCAGCCGGGTGGGACTCTGCAGCAGAAGGAGTCTTCGATCTCTCGGGGGAAGGCACCTCCTCAAAGGGAATCGGGTCAGGACCCAGGGGATAATAGAAACCTGCCTTTTTGTACAGTCTAGCCTCTTGGAGAGAGTGGTGGGAAATTAGACCCTCCTTCTCCCTCAAAGCGTTATACGCACCATCCGCCAAGTTTGCCGGGGCGAATTTTGTCCGGGAGATGGAACGGCGGAGGACAACACCCGACATAACGATGGGGCTGTGAGCCGGGAATTCAATGACGAAGTATTTAAGCGCCCATTTGTCGATCTTGAGCTCGACCTTCTCGAAAATGGGAAAATGATTGTGGGGGTATAAACTGTAAAAGGGGAAACCACCGATACTGAAGAGGAGAAGAAATTCGTCCAATTGCGGGGTTTTGTCCAGGGCACAGCACCGTAAGATGAAGGACGCAACATACTTGTGTGCGTTGGCAGTCAATTGACCCGGAGCGAATCCAAAATGGAGGCAGAGGTCGCGGAGCAGGCCGTGGAGGGGCAACCTAAATCCATTCTCCACAGAGTGGTACTGCATGACCATATACTTCTGGGGATTTGGGTTATAGGTTAAACTAATCCCCCCAACGGCATCGGGATGGTGGACCCGGAAGCCCTTGCCCAAAAGCACGGCCATCTCCCGAAGTTCGTTCTCCTTGATAACGGAGGGTCCATGGGTCCAGGTTTCAGGATTCGTAGGGGCCATTCCGGAGAAGGGGATGAGAATTTTGGGAAATTGCAGTCGGAATTCGGGTCGAGTTAAGATTCAGTGGCGAGAGGAAGAAGATGAGTCCAGAAAGGGTATTTATCCATTGAAAGGTGGACCCGAGGTACTCGAGTGCGACGTTTCTAATCCGACACGAAGATCGAAGGCGGCTCATCATTAGTTTTCTAGCGACACGTCGCCAGAAAACTAGGGGGCTTGTGATGGATATCGGGTCTGGTAGACCCGACTTCAGGCCCAAATGAAGGCCCATAGTGGCCCGAAAAGGAATAAGATCAGATGGGATGACGGGCCAAGCCCGTTATCTCGTCTTTGGCAAGTGGAAAGAGACGGCCCAAACATGAGGCAGATCGGCGCGACCCAGTCCAAAGGAGGAATGGGACGCGTGGCCTACATCGTCGAGTTATGGGCGAAGTGGGAAGAGAACGAGACCGGAAAGAAGGGGAAACACAACCCCACGATCTCCATAATCCATTTCCACTTTGTGTAATTTTAATTAGAATATTAGAAAGTACTATAAAAGGGGGGGGGGAACCCGCCATTGTAAAGCAAGGTCACAAGAAGACCATTCAATACTTAATCAAAGAATATTATCGAGTAATTATATCTTCCTAATCCATATTCCGTTCTTGGTCCGCCATCTGATCGGGTTAATCCCATCAATACTTGTTCAGTTTATTTTACATTTAAAACTATAAGTATTTTCAAAATGGTTTAAGTTAATTATTACTATCTACGTTTTTATAAAGTTTATTGTGTGATTGTTTTTGTGAGTTTGTTTTCTCCCTGAGTGTTCTTCTGAGTTCGAGTTGTTGTTGTATTTCCATCTCTTATCTGTTATCCTTTTTTTGAACAGAATGCACAAATTTATTACCACTTCAAAAGTTCGAATACACCCAACAAGGCAAGAGATTAACTATCTCAATACTATATTTTTATGACAGTAATTAATGAAAGTCCTCATTTGAAATTTAATCCATTCTATGCTTTCCTCAATAGTAAGCAATTTCTCCTGCTTGATCTTGAGATTGCGAGCCTTACACACAGCATAGCACACAGCAGCAAACCCAGCTATAGCTATCTGTCTCTTCCTCCTTCCTTTAATACGCTCAAGTGCTCTTTTCTGATTTGCATCTGCGTCATTGCTGGCCTTCCATTGGATTCCAAGCCACTGCCCTATTTCTTCCTTAATGCCCAAGGTATATGGACAACCATAGAACACGTGCTCCTTATCCTCCTCCCCATTGCTACACAGCACACAACTAGTGTCAATCTGCAAAAATCTCTTTAATCTCACCTTAGTGCTGATTCTATTCCTCCATCCAAGTCACAGTAGGAATTGGTGTTTGGACATAGTTAGTTTGTTCCACACAATAGAGTATTCAGGGTATGCAGTGGGCTCACCCATGAGCCATTTATAACCCAAATGGGTTTCATACTCCCCCTTCAGCTTTATACTTGTAAACAACTTCCTATTGTGTAATATATAGCTTCCTCAAGTAATATCACATGTCAGTTTTTGGTTGAGTATCCCATATATTGCTTCTCTTGAGATACTTGTTGGGAATCCATTTAACCCACAACACATCTTTTTGGCTTGCTATATCCCATAAGAAGCTATGATTAAAGGCATAATTCCAAAGGACCAAGTTTTTAATACCCAGCCCCCTTGCTTCTTTGGTCTAGAAACATCATCCCAACCCACTACAGGCAGCTTACTGTATTCAGACTTTGAGCCCCATAGGAAATTTCTACAGATACTTTGAATTTGATGCATTACCTTACCGGGAATGATGAATAGTCTACACCAAAATGTTATAATGCCAATCAGGATAGAGTTGATCAACTTGCATCTTCCTGCATATGAAAGATGTTTAGTTGCCCAAACTGTAATTTTGTTTAACTTATGCACTAGAGCTTCACACTCCCTGTTTGATATTCTACTAGCTGTGATTACCTCCAAGATATTTAAATGGTAGCTCACCCCTGCTCATTCTAGTTTCCCCTCTCATTTCATCAGCAGTCTGTGCACTAACACCCCCCATTACAATCTGGGACTTAGACTTATCTGTTATTCTTATCTCTATTTTATTTACATTTTTATCTTTTTAGAATTATCATTCAAACCCCCCATATCTTTTAGTTTAAGTTTTTAGATTTTAGTTTGTTGTTTTTATTCAATAAAAGTGACAAAGTGAACTGATTTTCATAACAATAAAAAGAATTTTTCCTTGGGGGATTGACCCTTAGTCCCTTACTTACCCTATCTATGTATATTAATGAATATTGAATCAAGAAGCGATTATCCGAAGTGAATTATCCAAAACCGAATTGATCCAAAAAATAAACGATCCGATGTATAACCAAAAACCCGAGATGATGCAAATCAAACTGAAATCGAACTAAATAATTCATATCCGATATGAATCCGAAATCAATTAGATCTTAAATCGATCATATTTGAACCGATTAAATTCAAACTGATTAGAACTGAAACCGATAATACCCAAAATAAAAAATATCCGAACTCGATTAAAACTAAAACCGATAAAATATGAAGTTGTGTTTGCCTTTCAATAAGCATATTATATTGAAGGTGAGTGTGAATTGAGAAATGAGTTGAATGGTGGCGTAACAAAAGTGATAAGATTGAGGGAAAGTGAAAAAGAATGGGAGAAATTTTGAGCTTTAGGGGGAAAGATTAGGTATGAAAAATTAAGTCTTTGATTAGATATTATATTAAAAATATGGTATTAATTTCATTTTTAAGTTGCAAAATCTAATTAAAATAATCTTATTTTGAAAAAAGAGTCCCTCCATCATAGAAAGAATGCTACATAACGCAAACCAAAACAAAATTTTAAGTTTTTTAAATTTCTTTTATTTAAAGATTGATATAGAAATAAAAAATGTTTACATATTTAAAAAAATACGTCAAAAGTTTTACAAAATAAGAGGTTACAAGAATAATACCCTAGTAGTTTATTTTATCAAATAATCAATGATAACGCACAAATAAATAAAAATTTTATAATTTTTAAATAGTGAAGTGTGATATTTTTTGGGACGAAAGGACTATATGATAAATTGTATGGAAAAACTAGATTTTATCCTAATTTTATTCAATTACAATAAATTCTATTGGTTTGAGAGTTAATTTTATTAGTTTCATACCAATTCACTCAATATTAATCAATAACGTTAGATGTCAGTGTTAGCATTTTGAAAAATATATATAACGGCAGTGTTTAGTGTTATCATTTTCAAATTCAATCTGCACCACTAAATTAAAGTGTAAAATTAATTATATTTGACTCTATTAAATTTAATTTTATCTAGTTTCAATAAAAAAGACTCAAATAATTAATAAATTTTGCACTCAATTGAATAAAGTTCACTTAATTTTACCCAATTTACTTAATTTTTACCAAATTGCATTCAATTAGAGCATAACACTATTTGAATTTATCTTTTATTTTTGCGTTTATAAACATAAATATATGAATATATGTGAGAAAAATTTTATATATCAAAACTAAATTTTAAACTCAATATAATTATATTAAATTTATATCATAATTAAATAAATATTTTTCATAATTTGTAGTCCAAATTTGTACAATATGACTAAAAAGTAAAAAATGGAGATTATTTAGGGTGATGATAGTATAATTAGAAAAAATGTAAAATAATATGAGGTGTTGAATTGATGATAGATTGATAAATGTGATAAAACATAAAAAAGAAACATGGATAATTAAATTTTAATTAGAAAAAATATATATCCAAGAAATATTTGATCAAAATATATTGGAACTGAAACATATCCAAAATCGAACTATATCCGAACCGAACTAGATCCGAAACCGGAATTTATCCGATCCAAATTGTATCCAGACCGAAATTTATCTGAATAGATTTATATCTGAACCGACTCGAAACCAAACCGAAACCGAAAAATGTATAGAACCGAATTAGATTTGAACCAAAATTAAGTCGAACCGAACTTATTATAACATATATCCAAAAATAATTGAACAAAAAAAATCTAATCCAGAACCGATCCGATTGACCCAATTGTCACTTCTAATCACTGTACATAGTAGTGTAGCACGGAATAGAATTACTTAACCATTAAACGCTGTTGCGAAAGATGGCGGGCATGATAATGGCTGCCCCACCGACCCACACACTCCGCAATAATGAAAACTCGCCGCGTCGGTGCAAAGCCATTCCTTCCTCTCCTAATCCCTCGCTCCTCCTCCTCCATTCAAGCTCCCATGTTTGATCTCTCGTCCATGGAGCTTCCCTCTGCCAAGAGGCCAACTTCCCTCAGCCCAATATTGTTGGGGAAGCACGGAACAAAACACAACGGAAGCGTATAAAATCTTTTCCCCAAATTAATGAGATGAACAACAAAGCACAATATACTCCAAAAATCAGCACCACCACCACAAATAGATAGCAACGGAAATAAGATAAAGAACACACGATTTACGTGGAAACCCCAAATCGGGGAGAAAACCACGGCCGCTCAACAACGGCACCCAAACTTCCACTAATCACCAAGAACCAAGTGGGTACAACAAGTTCTCCTCTCTAGTAAACACTAGAGGCATACACAATCATCAAGGAGCAACCTTGGAACAACAACAATCAACAATTCAACATAAAATGGAGTAAAAACTCCCAAAAACGCAGGTCTGA